TCAGTCAGGTCACAAAGAACATAAATAACCAATAAAACCAAGGGGGAAAACAAAGTATACTGAGTTCGTTTTTTCTGTAATTGTAAATTCAAATAAATGCTGTTAAATTTGATTAGTTCTCTTTAATGTCTCATCGCTCATTCCCCCAACAGTTTGTTAAACGTAAACTATGGCTGGGACATTTTGTATAAAATTAAATTGGTTCACTGAAGACTGTGGTAAGAAATGAATTTGAAATGAACCACATGACCCCTACAATGTTTGAAATGTTGTAAATTTGAGCCGAAAAAAGAAAAATTATTCATTTTCAAAGGTGAAATGTCTAAGATACTCATCAGCAGTTATGTGTTTTGCGAATTTTGTTTTGATATTTAAATGTTTTAAATCAAATAATATTTTTATAAATACAACCATGCAGAAGGATTCTGTGAGACTTAATATGCGCCAGTACGGTTCATTGGAGAAGCGGTGGTGTAGCCTGGTGGTTAAAGCGGTTAAAGATAATGTGATATCTAACCATGGCTACAACCAAGCATGCGTATACACAACAACATAATCATGCATAAACTCTATGAACGATCCACGGTTTGGTTTGGTTCATATCGTTTCTTGCAAAGTGTAATTATTAATAACTTTAATAGACAGAAGACCCGTGATGATCCGGGGTAGAATAGGTCTTCAGCAACCCATACCTCCCGTGAAAGGCGACTATTCTTTTCGTAAGAGGCGACTAACGGGATCGGGTTGTCAGGCTCGCTAACTTTGTTGATGCATGTCATCGTATTCCAATTGCGTGGATCGATGCTCATGATGTCAATCACTGGATTGTGTCGTCCAGACTCGATTAATGACAGACCGCCGTCATATAGCTGTAATATTGCTGAGTGCGGCGTAAACAACAAACAAACAAAACCAACAAATAGACAGAAACACAAAGATTACAAACATCGCACTAATGGTACACGTCTGAGCCTCTCCTCCTTGAGATAAAATGTGCAATATGTTGATGTGAGAAGACATACTCTTTAGTCGCTGTACTGCCAAGTCATGATTGCATTAGCTTCAAGGACACATTAACATCAACATTCCCACTTTGTAATACGGGCTTTCCTTCAACGTCCGAATTCATTATTGTATCCCTTCTTGGCTTGTAACGCTTAACCAACTTATGTCACAAACACTGTACAGTGCCGTACCCAGCCGTTTGGGGGGGGGGGGGGGGGGGGATTTTTATTTGAATCATAAAAATACAAGTTGGGGACACAAAAGTTTGTCTCGACACAAGAGTAGTATATTCCTCAACAGACACTGTAAATACCAAGATGTCGCAGTTTACATCTCCTCCCCTTTCCCTCCCTTCTTCAAAGGGCATAAACTGAGGCTATGTCACCTCTAAGGGATGCGTCACGGGACAGGATGAGGTATGGGGGGCTTGTTAGACTACCGTGTGGACACTCCACGGGGATTTACGCAACGCTAACACGTCAGCCATGTTTCAACATTACCACGTCATGACTTATAGAAACAAGCCATCTACCAGAATAATGCTTAAAGAGATGGTCACGTTGTGTTTAACGACCACAATGGTCGGCAAACCTCGCCAATTTCCGTAACTGCAAAGACGACTCGGATGAGGCACCAAACGGTAAACAGGTCACCCATCACAGACGCACTTTTTTAAAGTTCTCGTTAGTGTTATATATACGTAGGTACTTTTTAGAAATTTTTAACCTGAATATATTCAAAAGATACTTGAAACCAACACTTTTTTTAAAATATAGTCCCAATATGGAGACTGACAAGGCGTTCGTGGGTGTCGACTTCAAGTTACGATTTTTACATCACGTGACGGTCATGTGCTAGCGAGGTCGACGGGTTAAATGTAGTCCCAATTTACAATGGCTTTAGGTAACCTCAGTTATTGTCTATTGTCAGCAAAAGAAGTCGATCGCGTGAGATCGCCGCAATTCGCTGTGCAGAGTTACGTCCCTTGGGCGCGCAAGAAGCCTATGATTGTCAGTTCGAATTCCGGTTCGCCCTGGTTATCACTCTGGGTTTTCAGCACCATACCTTTACTCGTGGGTGCGACAAATATACATAATAACCGTCCTCGAGGCAAACGCCTATGGCCTGCATCATTTCGGCCTTTCCTCTAAATTCTAGTACCCGTGAAGATCCGGATGGAGAATAGGTCTTCAGCAACCCATGCTTGCCGTAAAAGGCGACTATGCTTGCCGTAAAAGGCGACTAGGCTTGTGGTAAGAGGCGACTATTCTTGTGGTAAGAGGCGACTATGCTTGTGGTAAGAGGCGACTATGCTTGTGGTAAGAGGCGACTATGCCGTAAAAGGCGACTATGCCGTAAAAGGCGACTATGCTTGTGGTAAGAGGCGACTATGCCGTAAAAGGCGACTATGCTTGTGGTAAGAGGCGACTATGCTTGTGGTAAGAGGCGACTATGCTTGTGGTAAGAGGCGACTATGCTTGTGGCAAGAGGCGACTATGCCGTAAAAGGCGACTATGCTTGTGGTAAGAGGCGACTATGCTTGTGGTAAGAGGCGACTAACGGGAACGGGTGCTCAGGCAAGGTGACTTGGTTGATGCATGTCATCGATCCCAATTGCGTGGATCGACGCTCATGACATTATTCCCCGGATTGTCTGGTCCAGACTCGATTATTTATAGACCGCCGTCATATAGCTGGAATATTGCTGAGTGCGGCGTTAAACAACAAACCAGCCAACAACCAACCAAATTCTAGCTTACATTCCGTGATATAACTGCAATACAGTTCGTTGAACCCAAGTCCCTCAATCAGTTGGAGCGGAGATTTCAGGAAGCATGACGAAAGCATGATCAAGAAAATACACATCGGCAATGGCAATTTGAAATCGGTAATCCTTTGTGTTTCAAGATGTCGAACCAACATTGTAGTTCAAACATCTGAAGCTACACTCTGATCGTCATTAAATGAGAAATTAATGCTCCTGTACGGCTATGCCCGTAAGAATAGTCGCAAGATGCACATTTTATAAACCAAGTACTGATTCTGACATTTGTCTTTTCCGAGAGTTTTTTTTTTCATTTCCATTTTTTTATTTTTTTTATTTAAATAAGGTGAGGTGAGATGAAACGGGTATTTAATGCGTGTGTTTGCGTGAGTGTGTGTGCGCGCGTAAATGCGTGCGTGTGTGTCTGTTTGTACTAGTCCGGATTTATGATGAGTTTATAGTGCTATCCCACTGAGATACCATGCCGCAGTTTAACATGAATACCCCACCCAGACACAGCATACTGCCTCGGAGCGGACCTGTTCTTGTAATATCTCCTTAATGACGAGCGCCAGGCAGGGTAACAACAAGTACCATCTTTAACGTCTTTTGGTATGACGCGGCCAAGGGTCGAACAACGGATCTTTCGTTCTCCGAACAGAAGCTCTATCTGCTCTATCCAATATTTGAATGAATTACTACAAAAGAAATTCCAAACAGCTTATCGTTAGTACGTGAGCCTTTGAGTCATGCTTCTTAAAGTCGACTTAGCCTACAATTAGACAGAATATTTGTGAAAAGAGTTGGATTTTAACTTATTTCTTCATTCAAGGCAACGTTTCGGTATAGGTGCTCGTACCTTTATCCAGCAAGTCAAAACTGTTTTCATTTTAACTATAACTTCTTAGATGTAAATTCCCAATCGTCAGCGCCAGAGCATAATTAGTGTCAATTATTTCTGTAAACAGATCATAAGCCGTAAAAGGTAAACGAGTGATGAAATGATTTATAATGGATCACTGAAAACAATTGATGACGACAGTTGTTCGCAAAAAGGGTTAACACGTCCTGCCCTAGCGGTAGCTCCTCCCACTCACACAATTGTCAGTACAACAGTAAGTGTAAGTTGAACATTCCGAGGTCATAATAAGGGATATCATCACGTATCTTGTTTACAAACCACAGGTCGTATTTAGTAAATTCCTCTAAATGTCTCACCAAGGCCTTTGACCCGTGAATATCCGGGCAAGAATAGGTCTTCAGCAACCCATGCTTGCCGTAAAAGGTGACTATGCTTGTCGTAAAAGGCGACTAACGGGATCGGATGGTCAGGCTCGCTGACTTGGTTGATACTATGTCATCGATCCCAATAGCGTGGATCGATGCTCATGATGTCGATCACTGGATTGTCTGGTCCAGACTCGATTATTTTACAGACCGCCGTAATATAGCTGGAATATTGCTGAGTGCGGCGTTAAACAACAAACAAACAAACAAACAAACAATCCAAGGCCTTTGATGGTGAAAACTACACGGAAAAGCCTAATTGAAAAGCCTAGTGTACTTGTGGTGGGACATGTTCGGGAGCTTTAATGCAAAATCAACTTAGATCTCTGTTGACAATAAGTGTTAAACTTTTTATTAAGTATCAGCAATTGGGTTCAAAGTGTTAGCAATATTAGAAATAAAGTAAGTATTTTAGTTTTTGTTTCTGACACAAACTTGCATTTCATTTCCAGATTGTGAACCTTTCAGCTCCAGATGAGATGCCACTTAACGATGATAGGTTATATGTAGATGTATAGAGATACAAGCGACAACATTCCAACATGGATGTGAACATAATATTGGTGTACGTCTCTTAGAGGAACATACGCCTGATGGAGAACTGTCAAGAATATTTCGAGCATGCCCCATCTTTCTAACATAAGCGTCCCCAGTCCTGACCATGTCCAGCTTGTAGTAATTTGAAGGTCATGCTATAAAATGCTCAGGATAAATTTATGTCAAAGAAAAATGTACTCCTGTTAATTGCAAATGAGGTACACAACCGTCCTTCCTGTTTGTGAGTAGTGTTTACAGTTCAACGGTTCAACACTACTGTACATTCATTTCTATATGTTATGGTCCTCGGACATTAAGGCCAAGCTTGTTATATGTCCTGAGAAAACGACAAAGAACATATTTTAGGGCTTAAGGGATGGGTGTGATAAATACGAGGTGGTATAAAGCTGACATGGACACTATATAAACAGGCCAGTCGGGATACCACTGGAGTATACAGAGAACTAATTGCTCCACACAGCCCCGAGGTAAGCATCGCACATGCTGAAGTATTATCCACTTTTTATTTATGTTGTAATGTAGATATATTATCACATTATGTAGACATATAATTGTGTTGCTATTTGTATATGTACAGTTTTTTCTATGACCCATGCGACTTATTCTGGTATAGATGCTGGCTTGACTTAGGTCAGAAGTAATTCCACATTAACTTTAGGGGGTGCGTTTGGTGTACAAATAGTGTCATCATACCCGATGTAATTCTCAAAGTAGATCAAAATAGTAATATCAAAATTAAACGTATTAACAGAAAATCATTCGACAAACGATATGCAATTTCATTAATTAGATTATGTTATGTTGAATATAATTACAACGACGTTTTATGAGCATAAAACTTTAAATAAATTGCAAGTACATGTTGATATTACAAAAAAACTGGTTTTGTTCAAAAGCTTGCATTGCATAATCGTAATTATACCATCAATTATGGACAGCCCTTTGGAATTACATGCATGTTTTTGTTCTCATTGAAACAAAGTTTGTATTTTCAATTCTTCTTTAAATCCTGCTAGCCAGTTTTTTGAGTGGTTGATGAGACTGATACGGCAGGACATTCTTACCCTTTTCACCAACACCTGGTTCCATTACCGATTTTCAGTGAACCACTCGTATAATTGTCAAAGTTAGTTTGCCGTTTTCGCACCATGAAATATGTTTTTGGTTGGGTAATTGAGGCTGGTTATTCTCTGGTGTTGATTTTTTACATATTTTACATATATTTGTTTTATATATATTAGACATTTAGAACTCATTAAATATCTGTTCCTCCTGTCAACAACCGAGGGACACGATCTCTTAACCGCGGTACAGAGTTGCATCCCTTAGGCGTGCCAGAATCCTATAATCGTGGGTTCGAATACCAGATTAGCTCTGCATATGATGCCTGGTTTGTCAGCACCATACCCGAGGTCGTGGATTTCACCTCAGTGGTAAATATCACTTTCCACACACAAAACTGACACTCAGTGATATAACTCAATCAATGTTCACAACGCCGTAAATCCAAACTCATCCACACAATTGGGGATAAACCATTACTTTCTCTTTGAGATGTGGAGATTCTATTAAAACTTAATTGGTACATTTATATGCATTGTATTCGTTTTCGTTTCATTTTAGTGACAAGATGAAGGAAGGGACGATGCTTGTGATTGCTGCGATGGCACTGTGTATGTTGATGACAGTGCAGTCTCAAGGTAACAAAACAACATTTCTGAAACGTTCCATTTGCATTCAGCATATACTCCGACAAGTACTTTATAAACCCTCTTTGTTTTTCTGTCATAGCCATTGACAGATTTATAGACCAGGATGCAACTTAGCGTAGCTTCTTAGGTTTGTCTCCTGAGGGCTGGTGGCGTGTCAGGTTTCTTAGAGATCTTTATATACTACTCAAAAGAATTTAAGGAACATCTGAACATGACATATTAACTATGGTCATATGAAAACTTCGGGTGTTCTTAATACAAAATCTGTGTCAAAGAAAAACAAAGAGGGTAGGATATGTGAATTTATGAATCGCCGTGATGAGATCACCCTTTTAATAACAATACATCATTATAAAATGACAGTGACAGGATTGTTTTGGGCATAAGGTGGTCCGTAGAATGTGGACGTCGCTAACACTGTGTTGCTACATTCTGCAACCTCTACTCTACTCCCGCTATTTTTGACAAAACATTAGTGATGCATAGATACAAAACGCGTATTTCGCTTATTATATAAGTTTATAGATACAATTATTATAATAAAACGGTATCTAACGGGGACTCGTTTAGTAATCTATATCTAAAGCATGTATGCAACATTAGTGAGTGAGTTGGGTTTAACGCCGCTTTTAACAGTATTCCAGTTATATCACGGCGTGTAAGTTTAATGTGGGAGGAAAGCCTGAAGTGATGCAGGTCTCAGACGTTTACCACTTTGGTGAAACCCACGAGCACGGGTATGGTGCTGACAAACCTAGAAACATAATCGGGGCGAACCGGGATTCGAACCCAAAATCATAAGTTTTTGGCGTGCCCAAGGGACGCAACTCTGCTCAGTGAATCTCGGCACCTTAGACGACTGGGTCACCCGTGCCCCCGCCACAAATACATCGGATGATAAAGCAATGCAGTTGAATGTATGTTATATGGGATTGAAAAACCCAAATAAAGGTCGAAAGACCGCGGAAATGGTGCCGAAATCTTCTGAAACTGTACCAGCTGATCCCGAGTTAATCAGATCAGATGACATCAGTGTCATGAAATAGAATTTTCCCATCAACGATCAAAGATATCACCATTGGGCTCATAATAACATAGGAAGATACAGACGTTTATGGCGTCTGGGCTAAGATGACAAACAGACGCAAACAGTGGAACAGATTCGCATCCTACACTATTTTGAGTCCAAATTCGCTTCAATCTCATTGTAAGCTCGGCTTTTATAGGGACACGGCAAGCAGCGACAGGACGTCAGCCTCCAGTGGGGATGTATCCTGGAAGCTTTGGTCCCCTGGACTCGTTCATGCGACGAGGCAACTACATGAGACCGCAGCAGCAGTATCGCCCACCGCCACAGGCTCCAATGATACCATGGTGGTTACTGGCAGACATGGACTTCTCCTTCTGAAGCAACTGTGTCTCTTCCCTTTAGCAACTTGTATTCTCTGCATCAGATAGGATGTGTTTCATGGGTCAATTGTAGTGACGTGATGACAAAACTCCGTATCGATGAATAAAGACAAATACAGTTGACTTTACCCTTCTGTTATTAATATCTGCATTATCGCCTTGGCAAAGACATATATATTATTATATTATCATTTTGTGTGTGTGTGTGTGTGTGTGTGTGTGTGTGTGTGTGTGTGTGTGTGTGTGTGTGTGTGTGGACAATGGAATCTGTCTAAACCGGATTCGGACTATTCCGGAAATCTGCCAATACCGGACATTCAATGCTGACGAAGTAGACAGATGCAGAGATTCGTGTCGGTAACATAATAAACAGTGTATATAGTAGCCAAACAAGAAAAGACAATTGGGTCTTTTTGGTTCACTTATGCACTACATATGCATTTCAGTTGTTACATACATGCATGTATTAAACTACAGAACCATTAATTACATGTATTTTTCGAGTTTCAAGCCAAAAGACAAAAAAGACGACTGCATATTAAAAAGCAGATTTTAGCAAAATAGAAACTAACATCTGGGTTAGCAAGTTGGCCTTTTTTTCACTTTTTTAAAGTTCTTAACAATCCGGATAATTGACACCACAATAATAAGATTTTCTGTGATGTCATCATATAAAGTACAGCGAAACAACACATTTTCTTCGACTTCGAAATTGTTTGTTCTGAATTTGTCGAACCACTTTCCACTTCAGTGAGTGAGTGAGTTGGGTTAAATGCCGCTTTTAACAGTATTCCAGTTATATCACGGCGTGTCAGCTTAATGTGGGAGGAAATGGTTTCTGGCATGCCCAAGGGACGCAACTCAGACGACTGGGCCACCCGTGCCCTCTCTTTCCACATCAAACCAATCGTTCATGCACTATCATACTGCCTTTTTATGCAATGTATCAAACATCACAAACCTCATTTAATTTTTAAATTCCTGTACCTAATTCTGATTTTAGCATTTTAATCCGCAAATCTAAAATCAACGGTTTTTAATCTGTCAGGTATATTCTTGAAACGACACCAATGTCTAGCATCACTTGTCTTATAGTGAGTGGTACCCAACCTATATCTCCATATGCATTTATAGCAACCTATTAGGGCATATCTTCTGAGGAAAACAATCTAATAGCTCTCTTCTGGACAGCATTAACAAAAACCAAATAGCAGAACCATATTCATGTATTGACCTCACCATACCATCATATCACAATTTATCACAAAATATCAAAGTGCATGCCGCCTATTGTCTTAAACTTTGTATGTGTATTCCGAGTGTACTGTCGGCAGATGTTGCCACAGTAGTTGCCTTATTTTCAAAATATAAATGCTCTGGTAACATGCGAAATACAAACTCCTATAAACTCTCTATTGACCAAGTGTCAACATCACGGATCACACACAGTCCTTGGGGTAAAATGGGCGATTTAACAGATTACACATGGGTCGACATGTGAGTTGACATGATCATCATCGACATGTGTTTGTTTGTTTGTTTGTTTGTTTGTTTGTTTGTTTAACGCCGCACCTAGCAATATTCCAGCTATATGACGGCAATCTGTAAATAATCGAATCTGGACTAGATATTCCAGTGATTAATATCATGAGCATCGATCCACGCAATTGGGATCGATGACATGCATCAACCAAGTCAGCGGACTGACCGCCCGATCCCGTTAGTCGCCTTTTACGACAAGCATAGTCACCTTTTTACGGCAAGCATGGGTTGCTGAAGACCTATTCTACCCCGGAATCTTCACGGGTCTCATCGACATGTGAGTTGACGTGATCATCATCTGCATGTGAGTTGACGTGATCATCATCGACATGTGAGTTGACGTGATCATCATCGACATGTGAGTTGACGTGATCATCATCGGCATGTGAGTTGACGTGATCATCATCGACATGTGAGTTGACGTGATCATCACTGAGACTAAATGAATGCCAATGCGTCTCTGATGTCTAGAGACTCCACATGTAAACATACAGGCGTGCACACGACGTCGGTCAGAGTTCGGTATGTGTCTAAAGGCATTGCTCTCCATTCCTCTCTCAGAGCCTGTACCATCCGATTTCTGTTCCTGAGAGGACTGGGACGGCGTTGGATTTTGGCCCAAGATGTTTTGTGGATGACATGTCTGGGGAGAGGGTTGGCCTTGGCAAAACATTGACGTTGCTCGTGGACTGAAACAGTTGTACAACACACGTGCGGTGTAAGGCCTCGCATTGTCCTGTAAAAACAAGATCCTGGTTAAGCTGCAAGAACGGTAACACGAGGAGACGTAACTCGAAGTCAATGTAACGCTGGGGATAAAGATTTCCATCAATGACAACCAGTTCAGTCTTATGTCTGCCACATATCCTACCCCCAAACCATCACGCTGCCACCGCCAAACGGTACAGTCTCCAGATTTCAACAAGGTGCTGTTCTTCCGCCCACACGTCGGTAAATCTGTGTTCCCCCGTCGGGACCCTGAACAGCCGGAACCTGCTCTCTTCAGAACATAACACACGTTACGCCACTGCTTACGTTGAACACGGCATTGCCTAACGTAAACGCCGAACATGCCTTGTCATCGTCATTCCTATGAATGGTCAATAGGTTCTGGTTGTCGTATATTGTAACGACTGATAACACGTCCAAGCGTCTCTCTCTCTCTCTCTCTCTCTCTCTCTCTCTCTCTCTCTCTCTCTCTCTCTCTCTCTCTCTCTTATGAGGAACTTATTGAAGTGTGTGTGTGTATCCCTTGGTTATCACACATGGAAACACAATCCAAGTCGACCACAGTAGCCATCTGACCCATATTTCGCTGCCTCTTGTAATAAAGGATCCCCTGACCTCTGACCTCTGATGACCTGGAATACCTACGGTGCGATATCACAAAGACAAAGGTCGAACAAAGGCATATGTGGAAGCTTAAATGGAGAGTTGATGAATGAGTTATGTACTCGACAAGCTTGAGACTCAATCAACCTTAAGAGGGGGCCATCTCCAAAGCATAGAGTAAATAATTCAGGGTTAATGATAATGTGTGTAGTGATATTACGTTATACCCCATGCATGCTCAACGCGCTACAATTATTACCCCGGTCAATGGATCAGTGTGCAGTTGAATTTTATTCTCAGCTCCCGGGGAAGTACAACACCAAGCTACCCTGTGAAGCGCTAGAAAGTTAACGGTCACAATACAATCTCATCCTGCTGGATGAACAGAGCAATGTTTCGGACAAAGTCAAAGAAGATGTTTTGTTACATAGCCTACATGACCGTATGCATTGACTTATATCACAGTTTATATTACAATATACATATACAAATACAGTCTTGCTCTTCTGACGTGTTCATTGAGATATCCAGATTTGAAGCAGGTAGAAATTTCATGCCTTTGGTGTCTACATATCAAACTGTTAAGGTATACTCAAGCATGCTCTTGCTACGAATATTTCAAAGACCGACGTACGACTCTTGCCCAAAAGTTGTTCGATTCCAGCCCTCAGCTTTCAAAAGGTTTTATGGTACACATGTGGAGGACATTTCAAATATGACACATCAGTGACAAAAAATATGTCCGATCCAATTCCCTATTTTGACTTACAGGGAATTGTTACCACGGGGTTTTTTCAGGTGCACGGTTGTCTTGCCTCTGCATGTGTTTGTTACAGGTGCCACAGGTGAACAGCTGGTACAATCACTATTTGATAGTGATTCATAAACACCTGCACATGGTATGGTTGGTGTTGTACAAATGAATCTGCTTTGAGTTAATATTTCTTATGAATACGAAAAGGGTTGTGTCGCTTTTATTATAATACGTATTTGTAGAAAACATTCTTGGGTTCAAACCCACCCAGTAAAATTAGTCCCACTATAGCTGGTCCGCTATCATCGAGCCATCATGGAATTGCAGCTTCAACTATTAAGTGTTGCCACAGGTTTAGAGGGTTTTTTTCAAATCTTGCATGGGTGCCTCCGTTATCACCTGGCAGGTACAACGAGCACGAGGTCGATCTGCCTTCATCTCACGGCTGAAGAACGAGCGTGTTATACACAACATTATCCATTGGGTTAAGATAATGCTGTTGGGTTTTTTTTATTACACCAGCTGTAAATCTCGAAAGGCACAGAAAATTACGTTGACATGTAAATACTTTAGTAAAAAGGTCAAAGGAAAGGCGTCCATGTTCTACACACGGCGAACGTGCATGACCACAACACAATACATCATGTATATTCACGTATATCCTCGTATATTCACGCTGGATAAGTGCGAGAGAAACCAAGCTTAGCTCCTGTTCTACTTCAAATATTATGCTCTGCAGATAACATTGCACGTATAAGTGAGTGCTGTTAAACGACACAGTCAGCTAACTTCCACCAGAAATGCCTGTACATCATCGATTCGGGATCAAGCTAACTAACAACTGAAAACATCAGCAATGATTTACACATTGACACAACAACCGATGCTTGTCCTGAGAAGCGATTTCCGGGATCGAGTAGACAGGTAGACTTGTTTGATCCAGGATCGTGATGTCAATCACTGGATTGCCAAGAAAAGACTCGACTCGTCATTAAACGGCGTTAAACAAACAAACGTACATTGACAGTAGTCGGGGTAGAAGACTTGTTTGAGCCATAATCGTGATGTCAATCACTGGATTTGGTAGAAAAGACTCGTCATTAAACGGTGTTAAACAAACAAACAAACATAACTTTATTGCTTGTTCCCCAATTTAATCATGAGGTACTAGGGATCTATTATGACTTATTCCACAGGGTTCCCAAGTACAGTCATGGTAACATACATAGGCACAGAGGAAATGACGCCATGACAGTTCCATAAGTCATCCTATAGGAGTCTCTCGTTGAAATATTTTTGTTTGCAGACCCTGACTGGTCATTTGAGCAATTATCGTGTGAAACATTAATACATGAACATAGTTACGGGTTTTTATGACATTTCTCCTCTATTGTCACCCAGTTATGTATCCTGATAACCTTTTCAGAAACACCTTACACCTTTGAGATTGCCCCCTACCCTTAGTTGATACTTTATGGATTCTGGTAAAATCATCTCGTTCATAAAACGCAATGTAATCGTAATCTTCAGCAATAACTATTGTTTGCCAGCTCGTTTTTGGTAACAATACTTCACGTGGTTACAACATCGAGTTGCACGGCCCATTGGTTTGAACTTATGAATAAAAATATAAATAAAAAAGGCATCCGGAATTGATATTCAAGGGAACATAAATTTATTGCTTTGGGTTTTATTTTTCGTTTGTACTGGCTTCGCCTGTTGCAACATTTATCCCCACTATATGTTTTTCTATAAAGAAAAAACATAATATGAGGAAGAGAATTTATGGATGTCAACTTCTTTATTATGAGGGACACAGCGTATCGGAGTATATGCTTACTCCTTCATCAGGCGAATAAATAATAAAGAAGTTGACATCCATAAATTCTCTTCCTTATGTGTCTAAATGCCATTGACAGACAGGAAAGAAAATATGGCTCCGACAAAATGCAGTCACTGGGGTGATAAAAACATGTAACATCGTAAAAATGAACACAATGCAGTAACTAGAGCGATAAAGACAAAAAAAAATATAAGAAAACCACATTCAAAAATTGAAGTAGTTACAGCTTCTGTGGTTTGAGCGTAAACTATTTCATAAACTTACAAAATCAAATTTGGTGATATGTGAGACTGTCGTTTTCATAAACACTATATGACAACACAGCCACTCTATAAACTTTTCGAGGGTAGTAAATTTCAATTCAGCCGCCATTCGTCGTATCAAGGGGAGGTCAACCCGTCACATCTGGCGTCGGTAATGTTGACAGTTTGTTTTAGTAATAGACTATTCGTATTTATCAAGCAATTGTTTCCATATAAGCGTGACCTGTAATTGGACGGGGATTCATTCGGACAGAAGATTTCCAGGGTCGGACATTGAGAGATACGTGGATTAGCCATAAGGTGAGGAACATTCAGTGACACCATCAGTAACGCATAGGTGCCAGAAAAAATCTCAGATACAATTCCCCATTTTGACTTGTACCATATGTTACCGTGTCTTTTGGGGTGAAAAAATACCTGCCCGGGTCTTCGGCATGACAGGCGAACGCGTTTAACCACTAAGACAACCCGTTCCATAAGTAAAATTCGACAAAGATTTCAAAGAGAGTCACAAGACTCTTGCTCAAGTGGTTGATCAAGGTTTGAACAGTCAAAGCCTCAGTGAAGCATTAAGAAATGTTTAATGGTAGACAGCTGGAGGACATTTCCAAATTTGAAGCATCAGTTACAAAAATTATGTCAGATGCAATTCCCCATTTGGTACCATCTGTTCCCGTGTTTTTTCAGGTGAAAAATTGACTTAACTTTGCATGTGTTTGTGATGGGTGCCACCTTTTGGGCAGGATACGCTCACCTTTTCGTTAACACCTGGTATCATCACTATTTCATAGTGATTCATAAACACATATTCATGATGCAGTCGGACTGTGCTTTTGGCAGAGCTGTCTTATGAATATGGAAAGGTTTTGTCACCTTTATTCTATGTAGTCGACTATGCTTTTGGCAGAGTTTTTATGAATATGGAAAGGTTTTGTCACTTTTATTCTATGTAGTCGACTATGCTTTTGGCAGAGTTTTTATGAATATGGAAAGGTTTTGTCACTTTATTCTATGTAGTCGACTATGCTTTTGGCAGAGCTGTCTTATGAATATGGAAAGGTTTTGTCACTTTTATTCTATGTAGTCGACTATGCTTCTGGCAGAGTTTTCTTATGAATATGGAAAGGTTTTGTCACTTTTATTTACACATTGGGAAAAGGGCCAACAGTTCAGATTTGTGTCTGTGTGTTACAACATATATCAGTCACGTTTTAATATCAGGCAGAACAAAAATTCACGTACACGTTTGCAACTCAAGACACTGCACCGTGTAGATTCTGGGTTAGGCTTGGTTTTCAACAACCAACCCTGTCGTTAGGGCGACTGACGGAATCGGGTGTCAGGCTCGCTGACTTGGTTGATGCATTTTACTAGTCCCATTTGCGTAGACAGATGCTCATGGTGTGAATCACTGGATTGTCTGGTTAAAACTCGATTATTTACAGACCACCGACACAAAACTGGAATATTGCTGAACGTGGCGTTGAAGCAACAGATAAATTATCCAAACCATTACAAAAGCAATCAATTGAATTCAAACACACCAAAGAGTACGCGGATCCTGAGGGACGAAGGTGCACACCCCTTCTTCGAAGCATACCAAATGTTTATGCGTTAGTAAATGTCGTAGGTGACCGGGTATACTAAATGTAAACGTATAACTAACTCATTTGGTGATATTACTGAATGCGCGTTGCCAAATTATTAACTACACTTCTCCATTTCCACGCTTGTAGTAGTGCTGTGGAACCAGAACATTTTTATTTAATTTATATATTTTTTTATTTTTTTATTTTTTTATTTTTTATTTATTTATTTATTTATTTATTTATTTATTTTTATTTATTTATTTTTTTATTTTTTTATTTATTTTTTTTTGGGGGGGGGGGGGGGGGCTCTCACTTTTTATAACGTACCGCGAAGGGTCAGATGTCCTACTTGTGTTACCGAGCAAATATATACGTTTCTTTGGAATATTGAGATATTTCATACTTATATAGTGGCGTATGAAACGTCAATGCAAGAGAATAACCAGTCTTGATTATCCAACGAAACAAATTCCTTTGGGTGTAAAAGGCAAAATAGCGATGAAACTTTTGTGAATGGTTCACTAAAAATCAGTGATGACACCAGGTGTTCGCGAAAATAAAGGCATATTAAAACATGTGGTCTTACAAGCCGTACTTTGTCACTATGGTGTTTGTGATGATATATTGTATTTACCGATATCTCTCTCGAGTGCAATAGCATTTCAATCCGCCCCAATGACACAACGGTTTTCAAGGAAAGATCGTGCTGATCAGTAAGAAAATACATAATTACTGGTCTGATAACATGTTTAGCAAACCTCGTTGTAACGCCAAGTTTTGTTCGCATCCTTGGGTATTCAGACCATTTAACCCAAGAGAACTTTGTAAGCAACAAGTATCCTGTACTTTAACGTGGATTCTAAAATAAAAGCGACAAAACTATGTTTCATGCTCATAAGAAATCTCTGCTTGAAACTATATGCCCCTAACTGAATGCCCTCCTATTTGTTGTAAGGAATGAATTTGACCCTAGCTTTACGTCTCTGCGTGGCTTTCATGTCCATCATAGTTGTGATATTACTGTCAAGGTTGAGTCATGCCCCGGGCTGTTTAATGGACTTCCCTAGTAGGCCCTACACACAGAGGGTAGGGGTAGATCCTAGCCAGTAGGTGTCCTCCATTGCTTTGGAAATGTAAGTGTTTTTCCAAGGTGGCATTTTTATTGCTGGAATACGGTTGTCTTGGGTAAGTTTTAGTTTTATTTACACCTGTGATTATACACGTGCTATGCTAAGCATACTAACAGGGCGATAAAATGTATCATTTTGCTCCTTCTTGTTCAAGGTTACGTGTTAACTGTATCCAGGAATTATTGTTCATTATTGTTGATACACAAACGCACTGATGCAGATGTGTATTATATTTTTCATATTTCCAAAGTAATAGTGCATGTATAGTTTTTGGTTTTGGTTTGAAAAGCATGGACGTATTTTCATTTTTACCGTTTGATATACACGCTGTTCATTTTGTGTCGTTTTGGTTTATCCCCGTTACTTAACGCAAGAATGTTGAGGGAAACTCGATAAATCATTGTCCGCAAGAACAGCGTTTGTTTGCGAAGTATAACACGTTTTCCCAGTTTGAACAGAGCGGGTTGGGGATTAACAAGAACGGGTCATGTGAACATACGATGTTGTTTCCACGTTCTGACACAACTTACTTTCTGACAACTCTCTCCCGGAGGTCTGGTGGTGATGATACAAATATAATCTATTATGTCATATACATTTTACAGTGTATATAATATGGTACTTAAAGGTAAATATATACCAATAGCATGTGGTTTCACGTAAGAGTATACTATGGTTTTATAGTAAAATTAAATAATGTGACGTATCATGAAGTTGTAAGATGAAGTTGCAGTGAGCAATATTTGTAAAGTAGAAGAAGTACATTATTGCTGTTTGAAAGATTAAATAAAATGACGCATCGTGTTCCTGTAACAAAACTTTGTAAAGTAATATTAAATACTATGACGTATCGTGGGGTAGTTAGAAATATTTGTAAAGTAATAATAATTATTCATTATTAATATATTTATCATGTAAAAGTAGATTCTGGTTGTATAGTAATATAAAATACAATGACGTATCGTGTATCAGTAACCAAACTTTGTAAAGTAATAATTATTGCTATGACGTATCATGTAAAAGTAAGTTATGGCTGTATAGTAATATAAAATAAAAATAACGTATCGTGTCTCTGTAACCAAACTTTGCAAAGTAATACTAACTACTATGACGGTTCATGTAAAAGTAGATTCTGGTTGTATAGTAATATAAAATAAAATGACGTATCGTGTCTCTGTAACCAAACTTTGCAAAGTAATATTAATTACTATGACGTATCATGTAAAAGTAAGTTATGGCTGTATAGTGATATAAAATGAAATGAAGTATCGTGCATCAGTATCAAAACTGTGTTAAGTAATATCAATTACTATGACGTATCATGTAAAAGTCACCTATGGTTGTATAGCAACATTAAACACGATGACGTATCAAGTATCCGTAAACAAAACCAGCAAAGTAATATTAATTATTATAACGTATGATGTCCAAAACACAGCTATGATACCGCAGCAAAAACATCGCAATCACCATAGTTTCACTGCAGCATTGTGTAGGGTATTTGAGAAGAATGCAAAATTGTGAACACCTATATCAGGCTCCACTGAAGTATTTACCAGAACAGACACATGTCGAAACGAAAGAATTACATATCGACACATTTGAATAGTGGTTGTCCTCGCATTCTTGGGATACCAAGAATATCGTTTCCTAAATCACTGTTGGCCGCGGAGAGTAGTTGGATGGGTGACATGTCGAAACGAAAGAATTATATATCATATCGTTTCCTAAATCACTGTTGGCCGCGGGGAGTAGTTAGATGGTTGACATGTCGAAACGAAAGAATTATATATCATATCGTTTCCTAAATCACTGTTGGCGGCGGGGAGTAGTTGGATGGGTGACATGTCGAAACGAAAGAATTATATATAGACACATTTGAATAGTGGTTGTCCTCGCATTCTTGGGATACCAAGAATATCGTTTCCTAAATCACTGTTGGCGGCGGAGAGTAGTTGGATGGGTGACATGTCGAAACGAAAGAATTATATATCATATCGTTTCCTAAATCACTGTTGGCGGCGGGGAGTAGTTGGATGGTTGACATGTCGAAACGAAAGAACTATATATCATATCGTTTCCTAAATCACTGTTGGCGGCGGGGAGTAGTTGGATGGGTGACATGTTGAAACGAAAGAATTATATATGGACACATTTGAATAGTGGTTGACCTCGCATTCTTGGGATACCAAGAATATCGTTTCCTTAATCACTGTTGGCGGCGGGGAGTAGTTGGATGGGTGACATGTTGAAACGAAAGAATTATATATCGACACAGTTGAATAGTGGTTGACCTCGCATTCTTGGGATACCAAGAATATCGTTTCCTTAATCACTGTTGGCGGCGGGGAGTAGTTGGATGGGTGACATGTTGAAACGAAAGAATTATATATCGACACAGTTGAATAGTGGTTGACCTCGCATTCTTGGGATACCAAGAATATCGTTTCCTAAATCACTGTTGGCGGCGGGGAGTAGTTGGATGGGTGACATGTCGAAACGAAAGAATTATATATCGACACATTTGAATAGTGGTTGACCTCGCATTCTTGGGATACCAAGAATATCGTTTCCTAAATCACTGTTGGCGGCGGGGAGTAGTTGGATGGGTGACATGTTGAAACGAAAGAATTATATATGGACACATTTGAATAGTGGTTGACCTCGCATTCTTGGGATACCAAGAATATCGTTTCCTAAATCACTATTGGCCGCGGGTAGTAGTTGGATGGGTGACCGGGTGGAAGCTTGAATCCTGCGATTGTCTGGTGCTTCGGCAGGTTTTAGGTTTTTGGTAGACATGTGGAGGGTATTTTCAAATTTGAACCTTCAATGACAACAATGATGTCCGATGGGATTCCTTATTTTGACGTGTTCCCGTGTTTTTGTCAGGTGAACAATTGACTTGCCTTTGCATGTGTTTGTGACGGATGCCACGATAGGAAAGGATAAGCTCACCTTTTCGCCAACGCCTGATGTTCATGATGGAGTCGGAATCGTACAATCGACAGTGCTTTTGGCAGAGACGTCTTATGAATATGGAAAGGGTTTTGTCGCTTTGATATATATGTGGTGTCTCAGGCAAGTGGCTTCGCTCGAAATATGCTACCGTTCACACAGCAGTGAATGGGTACCCTGTAGGATGTAATGTGGCAAACAGTAGTAGTGGAAGAAGAAGCATCAGCAGTAGTAGTAGTAGTAGTAGTAGTAGTAGCAGCAGCAGCAGCAGCAGCAGCAGCAGCAGCAGTAGTATTAGCAGTAGTAGTAGTAGTAGTAGTTGTGGTAGTGGTAGTAGTGGTGGTAGTAGTAGTAGTAGTAGCAGCAGCAGCAGCAGTAGTATTAGCAATAGTAGTAGTAGTAGTAGTAGTTGTGGTAGTGGTAGGAGTGGTAGTAGTAGTAGTAATAGTATTTCCTGACGATTCTGACCTGATCACTTTATATCTAATTACTTCATAACAGATTAATACAGAGGATACATGTGCAAATGAAGTTTGTGTTTTGACGCACACTGACTGTTCCTCGCTGTTCAGTGTGCGTGTCAGGCCTGGGTGTTTTATGTGACTGGGGCAGTAACCTGACGTTCTTGTTATTACAGACGGAAACCAGTCCCTGAAGATGAAGAGCCGCTGTCACCTCGTCACGCAACTGTTTATTTTCGGACTTATCTGTAGAACAGGTAACAGGTCCCTGTGGGTGCTTAGACTGGTTTTGTGTCAAAAAATAGATTATTATTATTGTTATTATTATTTACAGATTAAAATTAAAAATGCAGCAAAGAGGGTTTGGGTGACCCTGGCACAGTCAGGCTGGTTAGGCTCATCATCAGCTCAGGGCCCTTGTCCCCTCTACACGCAGCCCAGACAGCGAATGGGACTTCTCTCAGGAAGCGCTGCTTAGTCAAACCCTACTAGAACTTTTCGGAGAATGTGAAGACTCCCCAACACTGCAGCCTTCTGCATTACCCTGATTGTCAGAAGGGCTGTATTCCTGGTAGCAAACCCGTGTACTCTCCTAATGTTGGTCAACAGATTGGGAGGTACCAAACCTAAGGCACCGAGAACAATGGGGAGTCGGACAACTTGGTACATGGGACGATAGCGTGAGATTTCGAAAGCGAGGTCTGCATATTTGCCATCTTTTTCCAGAATCTTGTCAATCACATCGGTGTCAAAAGGGACAGAAAATTCAATGATATACATGATTTCATTGGATTTAAGAAAAAAGACAAGATCAGGTTTGTTGGCCTGGACATGTCTGAGGCTGTAAACGGGCCTATTCCAAAGAATATTGTTTGTATCATTTTCCATGACGCCCTCTACATATTCTGGGTCGCACCATGGATGGACCTTTGTGTCAAAACCACAAGCATGGCGAAGTCGGTAATAAAATGATCGAGCTTCACCATCATGTCGCTTAAGATATTGTGTTTGTGTCAAAGCTGGGCATCCACTGATAATGTGCTGGACAGTATCATTAAATTTATTTTCATATTTACATTTTGATGTATAATCACACATTGACGGTTTCGAGTGGGAAGTTACTGGTCTTGGGCAGCAAACAGAAAGCCTTCTGTTTCACTTTTCAGGCCAGCCGACTTCATCGAAAGGAAGGACTCTGTAGGGTTGCTGATCATCTCAACACACTGCACATAAACTCGATGCAGTGGTCGTTCAGATAGCCTCTCCTTAAAAAAAACTGAGCCTGGGCCGATTTGATTCGGCACTTCGAATGGTTGACACTCAATACTGTATCGTCCAGCAGTACAGAACCATCAACAAAATCAAAACTGTCATTGAGATTATGTCCCACATCCTTCGCTCGTGTTCGAAAACTGTGGAATGCCTTGTTTTCATTATTATTATTATCCTTATTATTATTATTATTACCTTTATTATTACACAGTAGCACCATATCAGGTCCTACGTCATACACTCGAAATCGTAGAACACGATTTTTGGTTCCTGCCTTTCTTTATAGTTTCGTTCGTTCGTATTTCGTTCGTTTGTTTTTTCAGCGCCGCCCTCAGCAATGTTCCAGTTCTATGACGGCGGCCTGTAAATAACCGAGTTTAGAAGTCTCCAGTGATTGATATTATGAGCAACAATTACACCGTCGGACACGATGACACGCGATCACGACAAACAACCGAATCTGACTACCCAACCCATTAAGTCGCCTCATACGACCATCATAGTTTGCTGGGGATTTATTCCAGCCCAAAATCCCCACGGGGTCATGCAATAAAAAGATCAACGTAGAATGTGTTTCGACACTGCGCTGAACTATCACCACTCCGGTTGTCCCGAACTACGGACATATCGATGGATTTGAGATGGCTTGAATGGTGTGGTATGATGCTATCGGCAAGCTGTTGTATTGCTGGTTTTCGTGTCAACCACTCACGCTCAGAAGCACGTTACCAGGTTATAAGTTACTTGAGGAACTCAAACTGTCCCTAACGCACAGTTACTCTTTCTATCTTGTCACCTCTCGAGTGGCTATTATTTATTTGTTCATATTTAATTTGCGTACCTAAGACATGGTTATGCAAAGATCCCCTCAACTAAGAAACATTAATGCTCCCAGAATAGACGTCATTTCACGATACTCTTAAAGTTCTAAAGGTCACATCATAGCTTATACATTCATCCGAACTTAAAATGGTGCTCCTGTTTACATGACGTCTTTGAACGATGAGGTCAAATATAGCACGGGGCGGTCAAGCAATAAGGTTTAATTGAAGATATAACGCCTATGACACAAAAGTCACGTTTAAACTGAAACGCACTAGCAAAGAGGGGCTGTTTAATTTATCGCCGTCGTTACATCCGAAATTAGACCATTTATGTCTTGTTTATGAATAAACATGACTTAGACAGTGAGTTATTTCGTCCGAGGGAATTAATTTAGTGCTACGTGTTTTTATACTGTGGAACGGTACATTATATCATACGGGTGTGTCTCCCAAGTAAAAGACTAAAACACGAGGGTGCCTGGCATATTACTCTAAGTCGCATTGTCAGAGAGATATCTCAAACGTGCAATGTCCAACTAAATAGTTTAATATGAGTATGAACCTTCACAGACTGAGGGCCAAACTGTATGAACGTCGGTGCTGAAAGAAAGTATACTTGAACATCATAATGTGCCCAGTCGGAATTTCATATATCGTATGAACTGCACATTGAAAAAGTAGTACTCGTCATAGTTTTATATTTGTGATTAAATCTTATTCATAATCATAATCATAACATGCAAAAAAACATATAAAACATATAAATATACGAAAAAAGTTGGAAACTGACTGTAAGATATCCACTGAAAAAAATAATCTGAACACTTGATCTTTATCGTTCTAAACATGTTCAATAATGTTTAAAATAATAAATTATGCATGTGTAAACTTTTATTTTATTTTATTTGTTATAAATAGAGGGAATATCTATTTCTTCTTTCAGTAGATAGATAAATGTATTGCTCACTAAAAGGCCACAGACACATTGTACAAATGTTTTCTTCGGGGGTGGTTGCAAATATAACTCATATTTTTATTAACATAGAATGATAAATGAACTTTGATATTTTTTTAGAGTAAGGTTTCCAATTGCTGACATAATCGATATCATTATTTGTTGAGCGTGATGTACATAAAATGGCAGTTCTATATATTTATTTCTGAGACTTTGGACAATTAGATTTTGAATGAAACTCATCTTCAATAACATTAACATAAACAATCTCACACATTCTCAATTCTATTTCTGTATTTCTATGTCTGTCAATCATAAGTATGTGAGAGATGCCTTTAAATTGTGCTGAGGCCATTCTGAATCTTTTACTATTTATATCAAACAATATGTATTCTGGGGAAATGTGTCTTAAAAAGCATGAAATGATGCATCTTTTCTACTCTCAAACCTTGCAATGACCATTTTGGTGAATAGATATCCTTAAGCCTTTGGCCTTCAGATAATAAAAACGAACCTGGATTATTGGCTACACATTGCCAAACATAGGGCATTCGTTTAATGAGATTTTAAAGTTTCAGTAATGACATTAAAGGAAGCATGCTTTGCACGTATTGTAAATGGACACAATGTGGTGAAATCTTGTTGACACAGCATACATACCTCAACAGGTGCATGTTCTTCCACACGTTTCATGTCCAGGCAATTAATTATGTGTCTACGTGTATTCCCTCGCTCATCCATCACCTACACCTATATCCTCCGTCCCAGTGTAACAGGTTTCATGTATTACCGCATGCTACACGTCACATCTGGCCGGCCAGAAGAACACCCAGACAGGTGGGAGGCGGCGTCAGCCATCCGTCACTGTGACATGCATTGGTATTGAAGATGAGTAATACTTCCTCTAGGTTGTGTTAATGGAACTCAAGACATCACATAACATGGCTGCATTGGGACTCATCACTGGTACCAAGTCCGCCAGGCATTCCGTTATTTACTGCAGTAGATGTAGTTGTTGTTGTTGCAGTAGCAGCAGTAGTGAGGTGAGGTGAAATGGGGTTTAACGCCGCGTCCACTTATATAGCGACGTGCATGCACGTGTGTGAACCTGTCCGGACGGATGCCGAATTTATAGTGCTAGCCCACTGAGATACCATTCACCACTTTAATATGAATACCCAACTCAGACACGGTATACTGACTCCGAGCCGACCAGTCCTTGTTGTATCCCCTTAATGCCGAGTGCCAGACAGGGTAACAACACGTACCATCTTTTATCGTCTTTTGACGCGGCCGGGGATCGAACCCCGGACCTTCCGCTCTCCGGGCGGACGCTCTACCACTAGACCACGAAGGCGATCAGTAGTAGTAGTAGTAGTGGTTGTAGTAATAGTTGTTGTTGTGTTAGTAGTTCAAGGCCTTAGTAAAGCTTTCAAAATGTATTATACAGTCATGTGGAGGACATTCCCAAATTTGACGCATCAGTGACAAAATATTGTCCGATGCAATTCCCTATTTTGACTTGTGCCATATGTTTCTGTGTTTTTTCAGTGAACAATTGACTTGCCTGTGCATGTGTATGTGACGGTCGCCACCGGTGGGGCAGGATACGCTCACCTTTACGAGAACACCCGGTATAATCATTCTTTGATAGTGATTCATAAACACATTCTCATGATATAGTCGGGATAGTACAATGGACCTATTTCTTATGAATATGGAAACGGTTTTCATAAGAAATCTCCAAGAGTCTTTATAAGAGTCCATTATACTATACCGACTAAACAATATGGACATCGTATAATGAGACTCCAAATGTACGTTATTTAATAACCAAATAATCAGTAGTTTCCGGTATAACTTCTAATGCAATGGTATCCTGAATTTGCCACTTCACTTACACATGACACAAGCAAATCTCTCGCTTTAGGAGTATTCAAAACACGCATCTGCCACGAACACTGAGAAACTTCAAATGTAATTCAAATTGAGCTTGCCTGTTTCACCCTGCAGCCATTGGCAAGGAGCACACACATACAGACATACACACAGCGAAACACATACACACACACGCACACACATACGGTCTATCATGTATATTCCTTTTTATATCTTATTTCGCGGACTTATTCACCTGTGACAAGAGCGCACCAGAGGTTCGAGTAAACTTTCGTGTGAAAGTTTCAACTGCCAAATCAATTCATCAAAGATCGTTGCGTTATTTTCCATCAGATTCTTCACTAGGGAGTATGTGTGCGAGTGATGCTCATCTGCGCCGCAGTAAGCTATGTTCCAGCTGTGTTGACCGCCTCTTTGGTCCAGTGATAGAGCGTCCGCCCCGAGAGCAGAATGTCGGTGGATCGATGCCCGGCCGCGTCATACAAACAAGATTAAAAGGTGGTACTTGTTGTTAAGGGGCTAAAACAAGAACTGGTTGGCTGGGAGTCACTATACTTTGTCTGAGTGGGGTATCCATGTTAAAACTGCGGCATGGTATCTCAGTGGGCTAGCACTATAAAACCGGCATAAATCCGGACTTGTACAAGCACACACCCCTCCTAGACACACACACACACGCGCACGCGCGCACGCACGCACGCACGCACGCGCGTTCAACTCTTTCTGGATGCGAAAGCACGACCATCCAGACAGTACAATGTGGCCACGCAATCCCCCTCTGGTCAGCCCTTATGTCAGTCATGGTGTAGTGGGGACACAACATGAGGTACCGGGATGCATTCTGACCCCACTGTGTCCCACTGAGCCCCACTGAGCCCCACTGAGCCCCAGGCATGAGTCAATAGTGGGTACGACCTGTTGAGACCCCGGGTGAGCGTAACGGTCATCAGCAACCTTGTCGGGAGGTCAGACTTGGTGACATGTTTGATTGCATATCATCATATCCAAATTGCGTAGGTAGATGTTCATGATGTCAATCACTGGATTGTCTGGACCTGACTCGATTCTTTGAAGACCGTCGTCATACAGCTGTGTTCGGCATTAAACAACAAGCAAACAAACTATGCAAACAGAAGCGACAAAAAAACATTTTTATACTCATACGAAATCTCTACTAAAAGTTGAGAACGATTTCCGACTATTTCATAAGGAGTGTTTATGCTTATGTATGAATCACTATCAAATAGAGTTGACACCAGGCGAAAAGGTTGTCTCCATCACAAACCCATGCAAAGGCATGTCAACAGTTAACTTGAAAAAACATATGGTCCAAGTCAAAATAGGGAATTACCATTCTTGTCACTGTTGCGTCAAATTTGGAAATGTCCTCCACATGTCCACCATCAAGCTTTTTTTAAAGCTTAACTGAGGCCTTGAATGCTGTATTCCTGATCAAACACATTTTAGCAAGAGTCCTATGACGCTAAAATATTCGTAGACAGGGCATGTGTAACCGATAGGTATGCATACTACTCATGGGTATTCCCTCTCATTTCAGCACATGGCTTCCGTTCCTACTTCAAGCCGAGCTTACCATCAATACCAAGTAAATACCTCCCTCCATCCTGGCTTCAACCGGATAAACAACGAAACGTCCCACCGTATCAGTACCAGCCCCAGACAACCCAGTATCCATACGGCTATAACCCTCCACCGTCACAGCAGCAAGGACGACCCACACAAACTGGACACCAACGGGGGCGACCTTCTCACCAATCGCAATCTCCAACTGCATACCAACCCGCATATCAGCCTCAATCTCCACCTGCATACCAACCCGCATATCAGCCTCAATCTCCACCTGCATACCAACCCGCATATCAGCCTCAATCTCCACCTGCCTACCAACCTCAAGCTCAACCAGGCTATAAACCTCAAGCACAGCCCGCTTATCAACCACCGACGGACCGAACTCAGAGCAGGTATGCGACACCGACTATATACCGACAAACCAATCAAGCGCCTCATCAGCGGAATACGTATCAACAACCCCAGCAGCCGAATACGCGTCAACCACAGCAGGCGTATCAACCTGCAGGTGCCCAACCGTCTGGGGGTTATATAGACCAAGCAGGGCGCCAGCCTGTTAAACCACGACAGACGTACCCAAATCCCGTAGCAACCACAGCTACAACTACTACAACTCGTAAACCACGTAGATACATCGTGCCCACGACGACCACAGTGCCTGCCGCCGCAGGGGAAGTTGAAGGTGTTACCAAAGCAGCCGGGGCTGCCGTGGCCCTCACGGGGAGGCCAGGGTTTGACTTCTATGCGACGATGCCAGTTACCCAGCAGGCCGAAGTCGAGGTGGAAAATGCCAATGGTGGTGGAGGAGGTGGTGGTGGAGGTGGTGGTGGTGGTGGTGCTGTTGCTGCTCCTCCTCCTCAGTACCAGCAAAGACCACCTAATCCCTACTGGAACCCTTTCTGGACGATGGCTGCTTATTCTTTCTTTACAAAGTGAGTCATCGGGCATTTAGATGATGCATGTCGAATCCTATAGTCGATAGCTAGTGTACGCCGTTGGCATCCCAAACACGTGTGTGCTGAACCATCTTCAATACTTCACAGGTTTTGTGATAATTACTTATCATTATGGAAATGGTTTTGTCGTTTTATTCTGCGGTGTAGTAGGGACGGTTGTAATATTTAGTCAGGTGACCCGTGAAGACCCGGGGTAGAATAGGTCTTTAACCCATTCTTGTCGCAAAAGGAGACTTTGCTTGTCGTAAGAGGCGACTAACGGGATCGGGTGGTCAGGTTCGCTGACTTGGTTGATGCATGTCATCGTATCCGAATAGCGTGGATCGATTATCATGATATCAATCACTGTATTGTCTGGTCCAGACTCGATTATTTACAGAGCGCCGTCATATAGCTGAAATATTGCTGAGTGAGGCGTTAAACAACAAACATCATATATTTAGTCGGGTAGCGAAAATGATGTTATTTATAACTCACGGAAGTCACGTGAGCCGAACTCCGTGCATGAACTTTATGCGAACCCAACCGTTACCTGACATTAAAGCAATGCGTGGAGCAGATGTTTGAAAGCAAATGCACGTGTTGCACGAGAAATACTGCCGATTGTGCCATGTAAGCTGAGCGTTCATTGGTCAGAGCCTTCGCTGGTTTCCCTCCAGCTTGAACCAGGCCGTGACTTGATTCGTTGGTTACAAACAGCGATAACCAATCGGTCGTATGTATTCACGGGTAATGAGGAGGCCGTGACTTGATTCGTTGGTTACAAACAGCGATAACAACACCAATCGGTCGTATGTATTCACGGGTAATGAGGAGACGTAGTGTACAGACAAAACTCCAGAAGTATTGATGATGGTGATTAACATGAACACGGGACACTCGCTTGACAGTGGGCACAGGACTAAGTTCTGTATTAAGTATTAACAGAGAACAGCGAGGCACGACAGCCGTCTTCTTTGTAGATATGGGGATATAGCGTGTAGTTTCTATGAAATGATTGTCTTGATATATTTGTACATGATAAACACAGTTTATCAGGAAAATGTGTATTTATATCTTAATCTAAAAATTGCAACGGAACATGTGTTGTGAGTTCTGTTTCCGGAGATGATCTGAGAAATTTGTGATTAAAGTGTCTTGCAAATAAATTCCACAATTTACGTCATCGGATATTGTGACGTGATTGTAAATTTTGAGGTGCAAGGCCCCGTTCCACAAGGCGATCGTATTGTAGCGCAAAGACAGTCGTTAGTCTAAGTTAAAGTATGTGAGTTGCGATAACCTAGCACTACGATAACTATGTGGAACGGACGCCTGAATTCTAAAGGAGGACCGTTGTATGGTAGTAAATTAATTCGTTTCAACGTTTGACGTGTTTGAAGTATTATTCTGTAAAACTCAATTGGATTATGCCGTGGATCGCATAGGTGTCGGCCTATTCACACACGACAGTGTAATTTTAAAAACGTTATTAATGCAAGTAATAAATAAAATACTGAACTCGCTGCCGTGTAAAAGCAACTTTATGAAACTCGTGAAAAGTTGTGGTATCTGACGAGCGAAAGCGAGTCAGATACCACAACTATTCACTCGTTTCATAAAATTGGTATTACTGGCTCAGAGGCTTTGCAGAGCCATTAGTGATGACATTTGATTGTGACGTCATGGTAACCATGGTCTGCAAAGCAATGTAGATATCGCTTGATCTCACCCAAGCGACATATCCTATGGGAGCCAGTTTTGAATGATAAATTCCATGCTTCTACAAAACATTATTTAATATGAAAGCATATCCAAGTGTGAAAATGGAGCTCCCTTATTTCCAAGCAGAATATTCGTCTTTTTGTTTCTTTAGAATCGACAAACAATGTCGATGGTATACTTGCAATTACATATTACTGTGCAGAGTGGCGTCCCTTGGGCGTGACGCAAACCAATATAATCGTGGGTTCGAATACCAAATTGACCCTGATTGTGTTTCTAGGAATGCCAGCACTATACACGCTGACTGGTTACTAAGAAAATAAAAGCTTATACATGAAGAGGGTTTAAAATCGAATTGTGTATTTTCTCATCGGCTGGCGTACATATACGAGTCAGGCTTGAAATATAGACTAGTTCTGAGGTGAGGTGAAATGGGGTTAACGTCGCGTCCAAGATTATTGCACTGATATAGCGACGTGCATGCACGTGTATGCGTGGCTGCTTGTACTAGTCCGGACTGATGCCGATTTATAGTGCTAGCTCCCTGAGATACCATGCCGCAGTTTAACACGAATACCCCACTCAGACACAGTATACTGACTCCGAGCCGACCAGTCCTTGTTTTAGCCCCTTAATGCCGAGCGCAAGACAGGGTAACAACTAGTACCATCTTTTAACGTCTTTTGGTATGACGCGATCGGGGATCGAACCCCGGACCTTCCGCTCTCCGGACGGACGCTCTACCACTAGACCACGGAGGCGGTCGACTACTTCTGAACAAAACATATGATCACGTCCGGCAAACAATGAACAATGGCGGACAACGCGTGGACGGTGCAGCGCATGCCTCCCTCTTGGGGAACACCCGGTGTCAAGACTAAGCTTCAGTGATCAACTCAATAATATTTTCACGAGTTTGCCTTTTACGCCCATTAATCTGCTTGGACAGATGATCATTATTATCTGGCGTTGACGTTATATAGTTATGTATCATCTGCATATTTGAGTTCATTAAGATAACTGTAATTCAACCCGAAACAGAAAGGCGTAAAAATGCAAAATGGTAATGGAAATTATATGAATGGATCGCTGGAAATCCGTAATGACACTGGGCCCACTTGCACAAAGCGATCTTAGCGCTAAGACTATTGTAAGCCTATGCTTAAGTATGGGAGTTAAGATCATCTTAGCGCTAAGCTCGCTTTGTGCAAGTGGGCCCAGGCGTTCGCGAAAAGGGTACGTCTTCCTCACTTGAGTGAGTGAGTGAGTGAGTTTGGTTTTACGCCGCTTTTAGCAATATTCCAGCAATATCACGGCGGGGGACACCAGAAATGGGCTTCAATCATTGTACCCATGTCGGGATTCCAACCCGGGTCTTTGGCGTGAAGAGCGAACGCTTTAACCACTAGGCTACCCGACCGCCCCTCACACAGTTCTGATTGAACAGTGAGTGCCAGTGAAGATCACACCACGGGACATGCGTCATGCTGACAAGACACGTGTCATATTTAGTAAATTCCTCTCAGTAGTTAAAGTCATATTATTTTAATGTTGGTTTGTTGTTTAACGCCGCACTCAGTGACATGACGGCGATCTGTAAATAATCGAGTCTGGACCAGACAATCCAGTGATTGATATCATGAGCATCGATCCACGGAACTGGGATACGATGACATGCATCATCCAAGTCAGCGAGTTAGGATGCATGTTCTAATTCCGAATTGCGTAGAGACCGCCTCTGTGATCTAGTAGTCCGGGGTTCGATACCCGACAGCGTCATACCAAAAGACATTAAAAGATGGTACTAGTATACCTGCTTGACTTTCGGAATTAAGGGACTAAAACCTGAGACAGTATACTGTGTCTGAGTGGGTTATTCACGTTAAACAGTGTTAAACAGAGTGCTGCGGTGAACAACAAGCAAACAAAAGCAAAAAAATATTTCTGTGAAATTTGAATAAAATGTTGGTACATGCAAAGTACGTAAGCAATTGAAACATGTAGACGTCATAAACTGGAGCTCAACGTGAAAGGGAAATTTACGATTGGATAATCGAAATTATCCCCCTGGTACAGAGGCTGTGATTCCTAATGTAGCGTGCAGTAATGATGTATCAAGTTTAAATTATTGGATAATATTGCGTGAGAAGGTGTTATCCGTAAATATACATCCTGTCAGTGTTTAATATAAATTGTAAACCAAACGTTAGTGTGTTCCGCAATCTGATTGGTCAGCCTACCTCGTCGATTATCATTCGTCGTCGGTTTCAAATGAATTTGCAGTCGATGAATGACAATAACATTCGGCAAAAGTAACAAACGTAACTATTCATCTTCAAACTGACGAACGTGTTCAGTACTAAAAACTGTCCCCAATGCTATTAATCATTTAAACAGAGTTTGTCAACAGAAGAGTGTTTCATTGCGCCAGAAACATTTATTTGACCAAAGTATGCACACATTTTGGTTGTGAGGAAGTGAAGGTCATTCACACACAATAAAACTGACGAACATTTGATTGTGTGCTAACCATTGGTTTTGCAATGTCAGTTGTGGTTTCGAGTTCTTCTTGCTTCCGAGAGTGTATGAAGGGTTGTCAGTAGCTTTTCATGGAGAACCTGAAAAAAATATCCAGAAAGTTCCTAAGTAAGTCGGCAATTCTTCGGCAAGTCTAGATTTCTTCAGTTTCAGACATTTTCTTGTCTTCTTTATATTATAATATGAAAAGAACGTTTACTGAGTTTGTTTTCATATGTTATTTAAAATGGAAAGAACTGTTATATGAAAGCATATGTCTATTATACCATCCATTGATCCCTAAGGACCAGTACAGTTCAGTTTTTGACAAAGTAACGCTAACTTTAGATATTTTCATTTGAAAATCCAACATATGAAAAATCAGCAAAGAGATATTATCTTCTTTGCACCACCCCCCTCCCTGCCTCCACCATCTAGTTTTATATCAAAACGCAGTAATTCAAACCAAATCATAAAATATCTTCATTTCGGAAACATATTATTTGTCTTTGAGTCCCTTTTGGAGGTGTTGCTGGGTTAGCCTCACATCAAAATTTCTTCACCTTTTAGACGCGTGGCAGCGTTATTTCTTCCTGGTTGTCGGCGTGCGTGTTGTCGGAGTCCACGTTGTTGGTGCCCTGTTTTCGGAGTCCACGTCGTTGGAGTTCGGGTTGTCGGAGTCCAAGTCGTTGGAGTCCTGGTTGTCGGTGTCCACGTCGTTGGAGTCCTGGTTGTCGGAGTCCACGTCGTCGGAGTCCTGGTTGTCGGAGTCCAAGTCGTAGGAGTTCGGGTTGTCGGAGTCCAAGTCGTTGGAGTTCGGGTTGTTGGTGTCCACGTGGTTGGTGTCCTGGTTGTCGGAGTCCACGTTGTCGGAGTTCGGGTTGTTGGAGTCCACGTGGTTGGTGTCCTGGCTTTGCGTTGGGCAATGCATGCTGAAAGTAATAGTTTTACAATAAATATCAACTTGTCCTTTCGATAAAATAACTTTCGTATAATTATGTAAAAGGATATTTAACAATTACAAAATTGCATTTAAGATTTTTATCTACCTAATATAAAAATATTATCAGATGCATATAGGGACATAAGGGCTGCTCGTCCGGTGTCATGGTACTAAAGTGAATTGCCATCCCACAATTTAACTGTTTATATACTGACTCCGAGCCGACCAGTCCTTGTTTTATCCCCTTATTGCCGAACGCCAGGCAGGGGAACAACAAGAACCATAGTTTAACGTCTTTTTGCATGACGCGGCCAGGTGATAGAACCACCGACCTTCCGCTCACATGTCAGACGCTCTATCCACTAGACCACGTATGCGGTACAAAATCGATAAACGAAACCTACTTCCATGCAGACAGCTAATAACTATCACAGTAGTAGCAGCAGCCCACATGTTGGCCAGCATTGTGTGTTCCCGATCTGAAATAAAACCAAACACACTCTAGTAATATTCTCAAATAAAACAAAAATAGTTTTTCACGAGGGACCAACCAGTTTATATTCATTGGGTGGGGATCTGTAAATAATCGAGTCTGGACCAGACAATCCAGTTTTCATCAAGCGCATCGGTCTACGTCTACGCAGATGGGATACGATGACATCTCATCAACCAAGTCAGCGAGCCTGACACTCGATCTCCTTAGTCGCCTCTTGCAAGCATGGGTGGCTGAAGACCAATTCTAACCCGGATCTTCACGGGTCAAAAGAAACTCACCAGTACATAATGACGACATTGTTGAGAAAATATTGACAATCAGATGCCGCCGGCCATTAGATATAATGTAATCCTGCGAGACGTGATTTCCCTGCTAGACAACCTCGAGAACTTGAAGAATGTGATGTTGTCTAGAAAACGATGTCCTTTCAGACAATCCGCGCGTTGCGTGGTCGCGTTGTTGTCGTCGTGTTGCTGTGTTCGCGCTAGAGGCAACACGTCCATGTGATGCATCAGGCTCAAGACCACGCTACTGACCGCGTGACATGCGCCTCTAAATGTTTCCCTTTGAAATGATGTCTTTGTAATCTGCAGCAGATGTGGATTCCCTTCAGGCTTATATTCAAGTAGGTTCAACGCATTTATCGCGAGAAACGCACATTGAGTGAGTCTGATCTTTAGCAATATTCAAACAATGTCGAGGAACACCCATGTTGGGAATCGAACTGGAGTCTTCTGCGTGACGAACGAACGCTTCAATCACTAACCTACCCCATGATCTGCGTGCACTCTTTGTTTATTTCCATGTCATAAAGGTTGTAATCACAGCAAGTGGATAACGTCGAAAGGAATTATATTTATATCGTCTCATAACTAACACGAAAGTTGTAATCACAGTAATGGATAACGTTTGAAAGGAATTATATTTATATCGTCTCATAACTAACACGAAAGTTGTAATCACAGCAATGGATAACGTCGAAAGGAATTATATTTATATCGTCTCATAACTAACACGAAAGTTGTAATCACAGCAATGGATAACGTCGAAAGGAATTATATTTATATCGTCTCATAACTAACACGAAAGTTGTAATCACAGCAATGGATAACGTGGAAAGGACTTATATTTATATCGTCTCATAACTAACACGAAAGTTGTAATCACAGCAATGGATAACGTGGAAAGGACTTATATTTATATCGTCTCATAACGGACACAGCAACACGTTTCGTGTGGAGCTTGGTGTTGTTTACAGCTATTTGGTTTCCAGGTGTGCGAATTCGTCAAAAAACAACACAATTCTACTTTTTTTGGACACATCTCAGTGTTTACCATCTGTAGCCCTGGCCGAGAGAAACTATCAAATTTGAAACAAACCTAGGCAAACATATTAATCCCTGGGAAAGTTTTGATTAAAGTTGGATCATGATAGTATTATTATATTTGATCAAGACAATCCACAAGACGATGTTCGTCGCGGCAAAGGCACAGGTTCGATTCCACACATGGGTACAATGTGTGAAGCCCATTTCTGGTGACAAAACAATTTCACGAAAGATGCGTCTCACCAGCGGCATTCGAACCTGCGAAGTCCGTACTGAAGGCTAACGAATGATTGGCATTGACATCCAATACTTACTTACATTAAGACCAACAGGTAAGCCTTTTCATGAACAGGTAAAACATTTGTGATTTATTCAGAATGTCACTATTTTCTTGATCAAGGCTATGATTGCTTATAATAGGCCGCTCAACATGAGCAAATATTTTATAAGTACTCGAGTTGGACCAATATGAACTGTTTACTTGCCCCAGGACGTGCATTTCATAACCCGAGTCGACAAAGAGCGAGATGCACGTGCTGAAGGCAGAGGGAACATAATTCACGAGCATCACGCTTGGGCGACTCACACAGTGTTCTCACAGTTAAGGATAGAGTTCCAGAATACGGTTATCAAAACAATGTTGTTTAAACATGTTAGTGCTAAGTTTCTTTGAATGTTGGCCATGGTTTATGTAGGTTAGCGCAAGAGGACCTGTTGTCTTATCGTGGAAATGGGAGGTTAGAATCTCCGGAGGCCTCTAACTACCTACTTCAACGATCGTACACCTTGCCCTCGTGCTCTAACATATACGTTAAAAACTGGATCTAGATTGGGGTTGTAGAGATTTGCCCTTTGTCTGAAAAGCACATCTTTCTCCCGAGACCTTAAAAGTTCAGTTTCCACCCTTGCCGAACTTGACTGTAATTTCTGGGCTCGACCTTAGCGCCACCAGTGGATATTAAGAGTTATGTCCCTCCTGTGTCCCTCCTATTGACCAATCAGATTCCAGTTCTCATATCACTTGCATTTGCTTCATACAAAATGGCAGCGCCCAGTTAAAACTATCTGATCGATAATCAAGATCTATATTGTGATACAACCGGTCTTACTTCGTGAAATGCATCAAATCACGTGAGCATCTTGATAAAATAGCATGAAAGTTTGGGGGAAATATCGCTGAACTGGCACCACACATGTTTCTGCAGAAATATGCACGGCAGTTTACGAACCGGATGTCGATTGAACTTTGCATAGACTCGTTAGTCCAGCCAAAACATAACTCAATAATTCCTGCCTAGTTCGGCAAGGTTGGAAACTGGAGTCCAAGTTACAGTATTGAAGTACCAGACAGCTGTAGCTGTACGATCGACGCACATGTACCAAAACTGTTACCCCAAAATTAATATATAATAAGTTCAAATATAAATTTTAAAGATATTGTTGCTTCCTGAATGAATATACAATTTGTTTCTAATACTTACTGGTAGTTTATGTCGCACAATGTATGACGTCCTCTCCTTAGATATGACCAGATATGCCTGGTAATGCCTGTTTTATAGTCCCCACAATCTTGCTTTCAAAAAACCTCAATCAATTGCAATTAGTCTCAAACATTATGTGATGCGTGTTTTGGTGTCTTACGTCACGTTCGAGAACCTTTCTACGTTGTTCTACTTTCAAACGTCGAAACCTGAAATGAAAACAAATGTAAGAATCGTTTGACCGCTTCCCTGATCTATGGTGCGATGAAGGTGTGTTGAAGACACTTGGACGCATCGGTAAGCAATACACTTACCGTACGTCAGCCTGAAGGTCGTAACGTCTTCGTATCAAGCCTTGCTTTACGTTGTGTAATCAAACTGAAGCAACTCGCTGTCACAACATGATCGATTGTTCATGCGCCATAAACAAGTGAGTTTTTTCACTTTGATCCGAATCAACATGTCCTGTTTTAAATCATCTGTGAAGAGTTGAAAGTTAAAATATTTTATAGAAGATGAGGTAATTTAAGCAGGTAAATAAATATTTAGCTACTAGTATCAACAAAGTCTGTTTCATTAAATTTGTTTTCATATAGCTGAACCCATGAAGATCCGGGTCAGAATAGGTCTTCACCAACCCATATTTGCCGTAAAAGGCGACTATATATGCCTGTCGTAAGAGGCGATTAACGGGATCGGGTGGTCAGGCTCGCTGACTTGGTTGATACATGTGATCGTATTCCAATTGCACGGATCGATGCTCATGATATCAATGACTGGATTGCCTGGTCCAGACTCGATTATTTACAGACCGCCGTCATATAAATGGAATATTGCTGAGTGCGGCGTTAAACAACAAACAAACAAACAAACAAATCATATAGGTGATGAAATTAAACGTGCTCATAATCCAACTGAATTAAAACAATTCGTAAAAATGAGTTATTGGCCATTGTTGTTGTTTTTAAGTTTTGTTTCCTTTAGGTGCGCACGTCACGTTACACACCTTCCGTTCCTAATTCAATTTAGCAAAGTTACATCTCCAGGTAACCTAGCTCTACACTGAAAACACTGTGATACATCGCTCGAACATATGACAGGCATTGAAAGCATATAAGCACGGCAACTTGGTAACATGAGGTCGGCACTACTAAAGTACACTAAGCATGCCATGCAAGGCTATTGTTCTACACCGCACGACATCATTATGACGTCATATCGCTTATTGTGACAAAAAGGTATGACGTCACAGTCGTATCTAGAAATGCGCCATATTCCAAACTCTCTATGGTCCCCAAAACTTAAAATACATTTTCTTTGTAGATTTCTATTATGTTTTCTGCATGATATGAATATTGCACACATTGGAAATTGTAGTAACTGCAACTTTGCATTTGATAACCTATAAATGTAGATATCATTATTTAGATATGCCTACCGACAATAACTGAATTCCTTTTGCTATTCTTTGACTATTAGCTTCCGCGGCGGTGCGGCCGTCAATTCGGCTGTTTCAATCAGATGGGGTTTATTGTGATTTGACAATCTCTGATTGACCAGTCAGGATCGAGTAATTTCCAAATTCATGGTAGAATGCCTGTTATATGCGAGTAAAGTTTAATATTACAAACATGTTTGAGCATTTACAGCACCAACCTTTGTTGAAGGCAAGTATTGGTTTTTCCGTATTTCAGCTCGACAACCCACGCAATGACGCTTCACTCAATATCGCGGCCAGCACCGAAGAGTGTTTACTTAGGTCATGTTTTCATCCAGGTTACCTGTAGATTGAACCGCGCTGTATTGAATTTGGAACCGAAAGCGCAGTGTGAGGTTTCAAATGTTAGATTTAGCCCCGTATCTGTATTTGGTGCACATCACGTTCCATACTGTTGTTATTCTTATCAATCAAACAAAATATACCAGCGGTTAAATCATACGGCATTCGACATTTATTATATCCTTCAGTGTGAAAGATTGAACTTTGAGAAAAGTCATATCTTCATTGCAGTGAACATAACACTTGATATTTAAATGCAATGAACGTAACACTTTGACGGAACTATTGTCTTACAATAGTTGTCTCCCTTTAACGTAAGTGTCTGGCCCGTACGCAAACTGTTGACTTTCGTTTTACGTTAGCTCCACACCGACAAGGCAAACTAAAGACAGATGGTCATTTATGGAGTTAATATCGCCACTTTCCGTTTGTTATTCTTTTGAAAATGTTTCGTTATGAACAGTACATTTCTCATTTAACTTGTCAATCGAGACTGGTCGTTTCGCAAATCGCCATTTTTGTTACTTGACCAGCGTGTATTCCTTCGCATCCAACAGCGGTCTCGTAGCCTTCAAGAATATTTTTGTTTAAATAGATTTTGTATATAATAATATACAAATTTATGACAAAGAATTTCATCTCACATATTTTTACTACTTTTGTTTGTGTATTTTAAGATCTTGCAAACTCGAACTACTTTTGAAGTCGCAGTTACAAGGGGTAGTCAAACGTCCAGGGCTGTGAAGGGAGAAGGGAGAATTGACGTTTCGAGGTTTTACATTTGTAATGATAAAAAATAAATTTCCGGAAGACAACTACACAAGAAGTATATAATAAATGAATATTTCATGTGTCTCATCACCTGACGGGGGG